TAATTTCTAAATCGGTGGCCTCTAAGTCAAGTTTTCTAACAACATGGATAGATTTCTTAACAAGAATAAGCACCCCACTACCGCCCTTTTTATTAAATAACATACAGTTCCGATCGCGTCGAAATATTGCATAAGCATCAGTTTGAATTTCAGCATCCAAAATTGTATACAACAGCCAGGTTTCAGTTAAAATTACAATATCGAAGTTACAAGTTAGTAAATTTAGTTTTAAGTCTGTAAGCTTAGCTTTTAAGCCTCCACAATTTTGATAGAATATAAGTAACTTATTAGAAGCCATCACGAGAAAGAAATGCAACCGATATAATTAAAAGTGTATTTGACGGCACCTGCACCGTTGTAGATGCGGTAGCGTCGGTCTAGCTAGACAGAATTCTTGTAAACTACACGTGTACCGCACACCTGCGGCATCGCACCTACGTTGCCGCCCGTCCTGCTTGTATAAAACGGACTGAGCGGCCGCCGTTAAGACAAAGACAGTCTTGGCTCTGACGTGGAACGGTGCGCTTGTCGTATTCCGTTACTAGATTATCCTCGACTCGTTGGATAATTAATTCGTGTAAACGAATTAATTATTATTCCTAACTACAAAATTAGTCTCTGTACTATACTCACTTACCCTTCCTACATCAGAAGTGGGATAAAGTCCCCCTTATTGCCCACATATAATCTTCGAGTAGTATGAGAATTATTACATTTGTAAAGGCTATAATGCATTTCGCATTGATGGATCTCTTTTTATGTTAAATACCGTAATGAAATTTGCTGTCCTACTTACGATATTGTCGTATCATTAAAGTGTAGAGAAAAGATAAAGTGAAATTATTTCAGCCAAAAGATAAATCCTTTTTTTCGATTAGTATTAAAAGTACCCGCAAGTATTTTCATTATTTCTTGACGTACCTAAATATGTTAACAAATGTCGAAAGAAATGTTAGAGGCTTTCTTGTAGTTATAGTTTGCATTCAATGAAAACTTAACTTGTTCAAGTTTTGCTGTGATTTGATAGTTCACGCGAAACATGATTATCATTTGCTATACTTTGAAGTTCAAAACGTTTAAGGGTGTACCAAAATAAAGGATTAACTTTAACATGCTATGAATTAAAAATAATAAGTGACGTTTTTGTGTTCTAATCTGTTGAGCAGTGTTGCAGTTTGCTCCAAATATTATGTGGTCGACAAGATTGGGGTTTGATGTCGAGAGATTCGTAGAAGTCTCTACAACAATGATCAATGAGGAAGATGTTGTGATGGCTAATCGAACATGGTCAGGTACGGCCGAGCGCTAGTAAGATTGAGCCTACACCGCTACAGTCTGTAACTTATCGGCAGATCTTACGTCAACGCAATTCAAGCGGCCGCCAAACACAATGGTCCTTTGGTGCTGTAAATGAACGTCTGAGGCTTGGTCGGCTTTCGTACATTTTGCGCAGTTGCCTCCTTCCCTTTGAAATATGTAGATGGTATCTGTCTCTACACATAGTTTCCCTTTTTTGCAATGTTTTCAAATGTCATACAGTTGCCGTTTCTTAAGAGAATATGTGATGAATTTTGGAAGCTCTGAATTCCATGGTTCGCAATACATTTATCTCGATTTCTTTTATTTTACAAAGCAGTACGACGATTCGCTAGAGATAGTACGGCGCGACGGCTCGCTGGCGCGAATGTGGCACGGACACAGTAGAACGGGAAGCTGGAGTGCGTTTGCCTGGAGGTAGCCATATTGGCGCGTTCCAGACCTAAATGAAGTCTGGGATGGTCGACCGTTGTAATATTTAACAAGAGTTAATATCTGTTAGCAGGTGGTGATAACTGATAGACCGTATGCTGTTCACTGTCAACCGCACGAGGACGTGCGACAGTCAGAGTTAGCCGTGTCTGTGCATCTAGAAAATACTAGAGACGTTGCAACACTCTAGCGAAGTAATTAGGTTAGGTTAGGTTAGGTTAGGTTCCCCCCCGAACGGGTTCCCGCCTTGTCGTGGCGGGGGGGCTTAGTAGCCGTGGCTTGGTCACCCACGGTGAACAAAGAGGAACCCCTTGGCTGGCCCGTGGTGTAGGGTCGGCCCGAGGTGGCCACTCCGAGTGGGCTTGGGAAGCCCACTTCGGATGTGTGTCGGGGGGCTGCGGTGAGAGGGGAGTCCGCACCCTCTACCGCTGCAGCCGAGGTGGAGTCGCGGAGGAAGAGGAGTGTTGGTATGGCGATGCGCCACTCGCCCTATCCTCCGCGACTCAAACGGGGCCGCACCGTTGATGCGGTGGTGGTGGGGCCGCGGGGGGAGAGGAGTGTCGGTATTGCGAGGCGCCGCTCTCCCTACCCTCCGCGGCCGAAACTTGGTTGGCGGCGGAGCCCGAGACCAGATCCGCCGCTGGGGCCAGGAAGGCTGGTGCTTCTGAGTGCTAGTTTTTCCTGGCCCCATGGCCTTCGCGCATCGGACACGGGGGCGTCCGTTGCGCATTAGAAATTGGAGGCCGAGGAGGAGGGCGCACCATGTGTTCTGGTGCGCCTTACCTGAGAAGGAGATGGGGGAGGAGTGTTCCTCTCCCGAGGAGGGGCCGCCATGGGGCGGCCAGCGCAGGTGGGGCCGCGGAAGTGTGCGAAAGCGTTCCCGTGGCCCTGCCAATATGCGACGAGGGTGGAACACCATGGGGTTTTAGTCGGTGCGAGTCCGACATAACCCGTCCTTGCCCCCGCAAGGCGGGTATGCGTAGGCATTTCCCCATGTAAAAAAAAAAAAAAAAAAAAAAAAAAAAGGTTAGGTTAGGTTAGGTTAGGTTCCCCCCCGAACGGGTTCCCGCCTTGTCGTGGCGGGGGGGCTTAGTAGCCGTGGCTTGGTCACCCACGGTGAACAAAGAGGAACCCCTTGGCTGGCCCGTGGTGTAGGGCCGGCCCGAGGTGGCCACTCCGAGTGGGCTTGGCGAGCCCACTTCGGATGTGTGTCGGGGGGCTGCGGTGAGAGGGGAGTCCGCACCCTCTACCGCTGCAGCCGAGGTGGAGTCGCGGAGGAAGAGGAGTGTTGGTATGGCGATGCGCCACTCGCCCTATCCTCCGCGACTCAGACGGGGCCGCACCGTTAATGATGCGGTGGTGGTGGGGCTGCGGGGGGAGAGGAGTGTCGGTATTGCGAGGCGCCGCTCTCCCTACCCTCCGCAGCCGAATCTTGGTTGACGGCGGAGCCATAGACCAGATCCGCCGCTGGGGCCAGGAAGGCCGGTGCTTCTGAGTACTAGTTTTTCCTGGCCCCATGGCCTTCGCGCATCGGACTCGGGGGCGTCTGTTGCGCATTGTAAATTGGAGGCCGAGGAGGAGGGCGCGCCATGTGTTCTGGTGCGCCTTACCTGAGAAGGAGATGGGGGAGGAGTAGTTCTCTCCCGAGGAGGGGCCGCCATGGAGTGGCCAGCGCAGGTGGGGCCGCGGAAGTGTGCGAAAGCGTTCCCGTGGTCCTGCCAATATGCGACGAGTGTGGAACACTATGGGGTTTTAGTCGGTGCGAGTCCGACATAACCCGTCCTTGCCCCCGCGAGGCGGGTATGCGTAGGCATTTCCCCATGTAAAAAAAAAAAAAAAAAAAAGGTTAGGTTAGGTTAGGTTAGGTTCCCCCCCGAACGGGTTCCCGCCTTGTCGTGGCGGGGGGGCTTAGTAGCCGTGGCTTGGTCAACCGCGGTGAACAAAGAGGAACCCCTTGGCTGGCCCGAGGTGTAGGGCCGGCCCGAGGTGGCCACTCCGAGTGGGCTTGGGAAGCCCACTTCGGATGTGTGTCGGGGGGCTGCGGTGAGAGGGGAGTCCGCACCCTCTACCGCTGCAGCCGAGGTGGAGTCGCGGAGGAAGAGGAGTGTTGGTATGGCGATGCGCCACTCGCCCTATCCTCCGCGACTCAGACGGGGCCGCACCGTTTATTGATGCGGTGGTGGTGGGGCTGCGGGGGGAGAGGAGTGCCGGTATTGCGAGGCGCCGCTCGCCCTACCCTCCGCAGCCGAATCTTGGTTGGCGGCGGAGCCATAGACCAGATCCGCCGCTGGGGTCAGGAAGGCTAGTGCTTCTGAATGCTAGTTTTTCCTGGCCCCATGGCCTTCGCGCATCGGACACGGGGGTGTCCGTTGCGCATGTTAAGTTAGAGGCCGAGGAGGAGGGCGCGCCATGTGTTCTGGTGCGCCTTACCTGAGAGGGAGATGGGGGAGTAGTAGTCCTCTCCCGAGGAGTGGCCGTCATGGGGCGGCCAGCGCAGGTGGGGCCGCGGATGTGTGCGAAAGCGTTCCCGTGGCCCTGCCAATATGCGACGAGGGTGGAACACCATGGGGTTTTAGTCGGTGCGAGTCCGACATAACCCGTCCTTGCCCCCGCGAGGCGGGTATGCGTAGGCATTTCCCCATGTAAAAAAAAAAAAAAAAAAAGGTTAGGTTAGGTTAGGTTAGGTTTTTTTTTTTTTTTTTTATATACTTTGGTCCTGCTGTTTTTTATTTCACAGCATCCTTTATTTCTTATTAAGTTATATCTTTTTTCTTTGATGCAGATTTTTTTTTTTTGTGTGTATTCCGTTATATTACAATTACATTGTTGTATTACGTTTACATTTATATATTTTAATGCCCTCGTATATATAGTATTGTATATAAAGTATATCTCTACTTATTGTTACATGACTACTTATATCTTTAATGATGACAGTACTGCTTCTACATTATTTACTGTGACTACTTCTTAAGCGTATTCATTCTAATATTTATTATGTCTTAATTTACCCTAGGTTAAATGTTACTTATCTACTGTGTCTATCTTCCTAAGAGTACTTTTCTTATATTTATTATACATATCTTATTTTCATTTAACAATGTTTTAAGAAATTGCTACCTGACTACTTTAAATTACTATAATGATAACAGCTATAATGATGACAATATTACTTCTACACTTTTTACCTAAGGTTAACTGTTCCTTATCTACCGTAACTAACTTCTTAAACGTACTTATTCTAACATTTATTATGTCTTATTTTCTTTAACAATTTTTTCTACACTACTTATTGCGAATTTAAGAAAGTGAGTTCGGCTGTCATTGTTGTTAATAGCTCTGTTTAGAGTTTCTTCTTGTAGCACAAAGCCCATACGCAGTTCACATTCCAGTCTTGCTAATTGAAATTTAGGACAGTCTATAAGAATATGTTCGATTGTTTGTGAAGTTTGGTTATCACAACTGCAGTAGGGGCTTTCCGCCAATTTGAATCTAAATAGGTAGGCTTTAAAACCTCCATGACCTGTCAATATTTGTGATATTAAGTTATTAACATTAATTTTTTCAATTGTTTTATATGATTCTGTTACATCTGGAAAAAATCTTCTTGTCACAGCTCCTGTTTCAGCCTTCGTATATCGTTCTTGCCATGTATTTATAGTGTTGTCCCTGAGTTGGCGCTTTGCGTAGGACAGCGGGAAGCAATCATAAACTGGTGCTTGTTTGGACGTTTCTGCTGCTAACTTAGCCAATTCATCTCCTCTTTCATTTCCCAAGATGCCACAATGTGCCTTAATCCAATACAGTTTTACATCGCCCCGGTTGTTTCGAATTTCATTAATTTTGGTCAAAATTTCTGCTGCTATGGGATGGACAGTGCTTGGATTAGAAAGGCATTCTAGAGCCGATCGAGAGTCGCTTAATATGTTTGCTTTATTAAATTCATTTTTGCTTTTTACAAAAGTTAGTGCTTTGAGGATGGCAGCAAGTTCTGCCTGATAAACACTGCAGTAATTGCTTAATTTTAGCTTTGTTTTATAGACCTCTTTTCCTTCCTTCCAGCAGCTTACTGCAGCTCCAACCATTCCCGAAATCCTGCTACCGTCTGTATATATTGTAGGCCAGTTGTTTTGTATCATGTTAACATCTTCTTGGGTGCATATTAGGTCATATGATTCTCGGACGCGTTCTGCAGGGTGTGGAAGTGTAAATGGACTTATGGGTTTTGCTAACATTCTGCCAGGTAGATGGATTAGCGGTTTACCTCTTTTTATAAGGTATAGCTCTTTTTGTTCTTGTGCTCTTAAATCTAGAGGTATAATTCTTGCTAAGGCTGTGCTGGAGATCAATGAGGATGTACGATGTGCTTTGCAGATCATGATGCTAAACATTCTAGTTATTCTGTCAAGTTTTTTGCGTATCTGAACTTTATTTGCAACTGAACCCCAGCAAGCGGCTGCATATAAGATTGTTGGCTCTACAACAGCGAGGTAAATTGTTCTCAAAATTTCTGAGTTTAATCCCCATTGAGCTCTCGCTGTTCTGGAGACTTTTTTATAAAGTGCTATAGCTCTTTTCGTTGTGTCATCTACATGTTTGACAAAGTTCAGTTTCCTATCCACAATTAATCCGAGGATTTTTAGGTCTTCACTAAAATTGATTTTGGTGTTATTTAGCTTCAAATTCGGTAACTCATACTTGATCTTCTTAGTAATAAGGATGGCTTGTGTTTTGTGTGCAGCGAAATTCATCTTTCTTGATATCCCCCAATTTGAGATGTGTTCTAGGGCCAAGTTAATTTTCTCCTCTATTTGTTTTGCATCTTTGCCTGAACCTATCACTATAATGTCGTCGGCGTACGCCTGCACATGCACATTCCATTTTTCGGTTTCTTGTAGTAAGGAATCCAAAAGAACATTCCACATTAGAGGTCCACAAATAGAGCCCTGTATACAGCCTTTATTTGTGTTTTTGGTGACCTCTGCGTTGGCATATCTAAGTGTTATTGACCTTTCCGAGAGATAGCTCATGATCAGTCTCAAGACCGCTGGATCCGCGTCTCTCTTTTGTAATTCTGTGATCACAGCAGGCCACCACGCATTATCAAAAGCCCCTTCAATATCTAATGAAACAATAACTGCTATTTCTTTGTTTCTCAGGCTCTCCTTCACTATCTCTAGGGCGTCATATAATGCATCCTCGGTTCCTCTCTGAGGGAGGAAGCCGTATTGCCGACCGCTTAATTTATTCTCATGTCCGAGCTGCCATGTAAGTCTGGTGACAAATAACTTCTCTAGTACCTTTCCCAGTATAGGTAGTAGGCCTATTGGGCGGTACGCTTTCGCGATTGTATAATCCTCTTTATTTGGCTTGGGAATAACTCGTATGACTGCATTCTTCCATTCTTGTGGAAAATATCCTAGAGATAAACATTTATTAAATATTTTAAGTAAGGTTTCTGGTTCTGCTAAGTAGGACTTATAACAAATATCAGAAGTAAGTCCGTCTCCTCCAGGTGATTTTTTGGGACTCATGTTGTTAAAAACAGTTTCGACCTCTGTAGCAGTAAACGGTACAGCGTGGATATGTATTTTACTGTCATTAAGATTTTCTCGTATTTTTGTAGCTTTTTCCCTTATTTTTATGTGATCTACATCGTCAGTTGAATTGTCGTCTGTTGGGTAGAAAGTGTTTGCTAAGAGTCTGGCGGATTGCTCTGGAGATAAAGTGTTAGTTTCAGCAGAAGATTTTAGTAATGTGTCTTCTTTTGTTGTAGTGTTTTTGCGAATGATTCTATATATACTCTGCCATATGTTTTCCTTATCTTGCCTGGTACAGAACTGTTTCCAACTTGTGGTCATTGCTGCCATTATAAGATTTTTGTAATCGGCTTTAGCTTGTATATAATCTTCTATTACAAAAGGTTTTCGTCTTTCGTTGGCATATTTTATTTTCCTCCTTTTCTTTATTACTTCCCTCTTTTTCTCTTGCAGTTCTTTATTCCACCATTGTGTCTTTTTTGGTATTTTCCTCAATAGTACGGGTATAGTGTCTTCGCAAGAACTAAGAATACTTGTGATATAACTTTGGATGCATTTTTCTAGTAATTGTGGGGTATCGATGGAATCAATGAAGTCATGCGTGACCTTGGAATTGTTTAGTTCTTCTCTAAGTCGTTTTGTGAATGTTTCCCAGTCTGCTTTACTTGTATTATAAATACGTGTTGAAATTCTCTGATGTGTCGTTTTATTTGAATTTTTTATATTTAAGTTGAAGGTGATCGCTCGGTGATCTGAGAGTGTAATCAAGTTGGGATCCACTTTCCAATCAGTTATTCTGTTCAGAAGAGCTGTCGTGCATGTAGTGATATCAATAATGCTGGAGTATTCTCGGGCTCCTCTCCATACGTGAAAGGTTGGTGTTTGCCCTTCATTCAATATTTGTAGGTCTAATTGTGCTAAAGTCTCAGCTATAACTACACCCCGCCTGTCCCCCGCATCGCACCCCCTCCAGGGACTTTTGGCATTGAAATCTCCTTCAAGAATAACATGCTCGGTGTCGAGATTTTCTATGAATCTTGTTATGTTGCAGAGATCGTCTTCAATATCAGCACCTTCTTCGAGATATACATTAATTACACCTATACTAAATTCATTTATACAAAGTCTACAAGCAACTATATTCTCTGTTATAATTTTTTGGTTAACACAATACTGTATGTTCGGATTAACAACAATGACAGCCGACTTGACTGGTTTTTCTTTGTTACCAGTGTCTTTTTGTATTACTCTATACTTGCAAGTAATATGAGCCTTGGCGCCAACGTAGGGTTCTTGGGCCATTAAAATTGATATACCTTGCTGCTCAGCTGCTTGCAGACTTTCTTGTAAAGCAGCTTGCCCTCTACCAAGGTTTATTTGGGCGATCTTAATCATCAATGGTGTGTTGTCTTTGGTCTGTACATTATTGTTTTTAGCAGTATGATGTAAAAGATCTTGCAATTCTGTCCCACCGCTGCCATTCAGGGCATTCGGAGCTATAGGCGGGGTGAGCACATGCCCAATCATTTGCCTTTTTGTTGATACAATTTGTGCACTTTGGAGCTTCGTTTTTATTGCAACACTCTCGTGTATCGTGTGGCTCAGCGCAATATGCACAAATTACTGTATCAGCCTTGCATTCACTAGCTCGATGTGAAAATCCTAGGCAGCGGTAGCACTGAATCAAGGGCGACTGGTCAACTGATGGGACAATCTGAAACCCAAGCCTTATTCTTTGGTCTTTGAGTCTTGACCAGACTTGTGGGCTAACTTCTACGATTATGTTATTTAATGAACCAGTACGGCCTTTGACTCTTCTCACAACTTTTATGTGCGTTTGTGAGGTTGATATATCCTTTAGCAACGAGCCGTTTTGTTTAATTACAGCTTCTTCAATTTTATTATTACTTAGGTCCATTGCTACTCCGATTAGTCTCAACAGAGGATTTTTGGTCGGAAGTTTCTGTACAGTCAGTTTGTTTGTGGTATTTTTCAGTTTCTCATGTAGAATCTTTCTGTCGTCTTCTGTTTCGCAACTTATAAGCACTTTCTGATTTTTTGCTTTCTTTATATTGCTTATTCCTATACCTAAATCTATTATATTAATGTCATTCTTTACCTGTTTTATTATATCATCGCTGGTATTTCTAGGATCAGCTGATTCTACCACAATAGAGAAATTAGGTTTAGCAGTCACTTCTGAGTATAATCTAGATGAGAAGTAAGGCTTTGTAGCTCTTTGCATCGGTATGAAAGCTTTCTCCGATTTTTGCTGTTCTTGTATAATATTTTGATCCTTCTCTGCTGAGTTTGATCTGTCTATAAATGTTTGACTTCTGACCTCGTTTCGGAGTCCTTCAATGGCCGTTCTAATGGGTGCTGCCGATTCCAAAGTAGTGTCCTGTAATTCTCTAGTATTTCGCCTCAGTTCTTCTATGCTGGCTTGGACTGAGGAGATTAAAGAATCAGCAGGGCACTTTCTAAATTTTGCTATGTCTTCAGATATTTGAGTCATTTGACAGCGCAGGCTGGCGATATCCTCTTGGAGCTGCGTTTTCACCTCGTGAATGTGTTTCCGCAATTCCTGAGTCATCCCCTGAGCCTGCTCCTCTTGACCTTTCCCTTCTTCGGTGGAAACTGTAGGGAGTTCAGAGAATGGTATTCCACATTTTAAGGTCTTAATATCATTTATAGCGCTGCGTATCTCTTTTAACTCCTCATTGAGAGATGTGCTTATCAGATCTTCCGTTTTGGTGTGTCTTGGTGATTCCACACTCTCGCGGAGAAGTCTTAGTTCTTCTGACAATATCTTTATTTGGTTAGATATGCAGCTGGATGATGACATTTCATGTCTGACTGTAATCAGCTCACTCTTAGTTTCAGTGATTGCTGTGCATAAGTCATATGACATGATCATTCTCATGGATTCAGCTTCCTTTTGCAATTTATCAATACACTCCTTTAAAAGAGCGTATTGTCCTAGCGTTTCGTGCATAAACCGTACGTGTCGTTGAGTAAGACGCTCGGATTCTTTTGAGACGTTTAGCTTCTGTTTATTGGCCTCGAGCATATGCAGCATTCTGGAGTCAGAGAGCTTTAAAATCATTTCATACAGAGTATACAATCCAGCTATTACACTTTCCCGTATTTCCCTTTTAAGATTACCAGATTTTTCCAGCTCTGATTTGGAACGCTGCAATATCTCATTCGCATGTCTTGGTAGTTCGTTAAGAAACATCCGATTGCCGCCTATAGAACGCGAAGAGGCATCAAAGGAAGTATTTGTTTCCCCAGTGTCGTTGTCGGACTCTATTTGGTCCTCCACCTCAGACATTCTCCTCGTGACCTCCTCAGCTTCAACTGCTTTAGCCTGTCGGATTTGGGTTTTGATACGCAGTAAACTTGAACCCGGTCTGGTCAGGAGAGGAGAAGAAGTTATAGCTTCCTCTAGGTTAGGCGATGGGGTGGCAGACTCTGGAGTAGAGGATAACTTACCTCTCTCCTCTATTTCAAGGGTAGGTGAGGGCTGGAAGTGTGGTTGATCTGATTCCGAACCAACGATTATACACTGGGCGTCAACTTTAGGCACATTGTGATCCGTTGACTCGACCAATTTTGTCTTTATACTATGTAAGGTTTTAGTAGGTTCTTTAGTGGTCGCATGTGACCCAATATGAGTTTTCTTCTTGTGCAATGTTTGTTTATCCGAGCAAATTGATCCCGATTTTTTAGATTTATCGGACATTGTTGCACTATAAGAGTGTTGAAGCAGAAGGCGCTTTGCTCTCTGTAACTCGGAATGGAGGTCCTACGAGGGTAGTCTTCTTAAATATTTACTTTTTTTTTCCTTTATAATATAAAGCTTAAAATGCTGATATGTACAGTGAAAACCGCGTTCCGATTGGACCTTCCGTTCCCGAGTTACAGGCTTCCAAAGTTTTTCAAGATGGCGGATTAAGATGGCCAGTAAAAACTAATTTTTTTAATTACTTTGGACCCAAAGCTCCTGGGATAGTCGAGTTTGGGCTTGTTCGGTTTGCCTTTGAGTGTTTTATCTGATTCCGCACCTGGTTGTGTGCCCAATTCGAAATGTCAGCTATCAACTCCTGGAGCCTTGTTAGGTCACTACAAGTTGTATAAAGAAAACCGCGCTCCGATTGGACTCTCCGTTCCGGAGTTACAGGCTTCCAAAGTTTTTCAAGATGGCGGATTAAGATGGCCACCAAAAACTAATCTTTTAATTACTTTTGACCCACAACTCTGGTGATAGTCGAGTTTGGGCTTATTCGGTTTGTCTTTGAGTGTTCTACCTGATTCCGCGCCTGGTTGTGTGCCTATTTCGAAATGTCAGCTGTCAACTCCTAGATCTTTGTGAAGCCACTACAAGGTGTATAAAGAAAACAGCAGCTTTCTACGATGATTCGTTTAGAAGATATGACAGTTTGAAAATTTTCAAGATGGCTGCCAAAATGGCGAAAAAAGGTAAAAAGCTTATTTCTCAGCAACGGGGCCACGTAAAAGGGTCGAGTTTGGGCTCTTTAGAAAGCTAATGACGAGACCCAACTAGAAAAAACACTGTTATTAATGAGAAAATTTTCAGTAAAGAGAAATCCTGAAAAAACGCTGAAATACGCATAAATTCCAAGCCAAAGGAGATAATTTTGAACTAAAAACGAAAAATTGATGCACGAGCTACACTCTAAATACTGGCATAGGAAATTTTTCTCCCAGTTACTTGGAAGAGGTAGCACGTGGAAGAGTGTTTTTACTAAAAAATCAATATCTCAATAATTCCAAAATAGAAAATTCTAAATTTTTGTATGTATGTTAAATAATAGTTTTCCTACAAAATTTAATAAGAAAATTGATATGTTCTCGCTAAAAAATGAAAAATATTTAGGTTTAAAATATTAAGAAATTTAAAAAATTGACATTTTCGTTAATAACTCCTTATAATGTACTCCGATTTTTACGCAACAAGTTTATAAATGTTAGTTTAAAAGTGCTGAAGCCGAAATAGTTTTCAAAAATAGCCGCACGATCTTAATTTAAGATTTAGTTGCCACGTGGTTTTTCAGTTTTTCGTTAATAACTCAAAAATTTATTGTCAGAAAAATCTAAAACATATGCCAAAATGTAGAGCCAGTTAAACAGCATGCAATGCAAAAATAAAAATTACAGGTTATCGATCTAAAAATCACGGCGTACGCAAAAAAGTGTAAAACTTAACCTCAAAATTTTACCTTTTCACGTTTTTTCTCCGAGATTTCCAGGTTTTTACACAAAATAACTGCACTATTAACTATAACTAATGCACTCACTAAAAGATTGCACGAAACTGCACCCAATAAAACTTGTTGCAAGAAAATCGGAGCACTTTAGCCTATTTTAACGATTTTTTGATTGCGGAGCGACAAGGAAACGATGCGTACGGACCGGGCGTCGACGGAATACGGGTTAGGTTAGGTTAGGTTAGGTTAGGTTCCCCCCCGAACGGGTTCCCGCCTTGTCGTGGCGGGGGGGCTTAGTAGCCGTGGCTTGGTCACCCACGGTGAACAAAGAGGAACCCCTTGGCTGGCCCGTGGTGTAGGGCCGGCCCGAGGTGGCCACTCCGAGTGGGCTTGGGAAGCCCACTTCGGATGTGTGTCGGTGGGATGCTGCGAGAGGGGTGTCCGCTCCCCCCCCCCTCTCTCGCTGCAGCCGAGGTGGAGTCGCGGAGGAAGAGGCGTGCTGGTATGGCGATGCGCCACTCGCCCTATCCTCCGCGACTCAGACGGGGCCGCACCGTTAAATGATGCGGTGGTGGTGGGGCTGCGGGGGGAGAGGAGTGTCGGTATTGCGAGGCGCCGCTCTCCCTACCCTCCGCAGCCGAATCTTGGTTGGCGGCGGAGCCATAGACCAGATCCGTCGCTGGGGTCAGGAAGGCTGGTGCTTCTGAGTGCTAGTTTTTCCTGGCCCCATGGCCTCCGCGTATCGGACTCGGGGGGGTCCGATGCGCAGGTGGAGTTGGAGGCTGTGGAGGGGGGTAGCCTAACACCTCGCTACCCCGTGCAGGAGACGAGGCTCGGACAGACCGGGCCAGCACTAGTGTGGGGCTGCGGAAGAATTTGGATTCCCGCGGCCCCGCGCGCACGTGCGAGGAGGCACCGTGGGGTTTTAGCCGGTAGGAGTCCGGCATAACCTTCGGTTGCCCCCGCAGCCGGAGGTATCCATGAGGATTTCCCCACGAAAAAAAAAAAAAAAAAAAAAAAAAAGGTTAGGTTAGGTTAGGTTAGGTTAGGTTAGGTTTTTTTTTTTTTTTTTTTTTTTTTTTTTTTTTTTTTTTTTCCTAGTTCCCCTGATATGTGGAGGTCAGGGACTTTTTTCATCTTTTAGGTGTGTCTTTTTTCACCTCTGTTATTTTCTTTCTTTCTTTTATTTATTTTTTTGAGATTTTTATGCTTACATTCTTAATTACTATTTTACTTATGTTCTTATTTCTATTCCTTTTGGAGCTGTTTACATCATATACTTACATTATATTTTGTTACAGCGTCCATTTTCTTAGTTACTATTTATTTCTATTTACTGCACTTCTTGTTATATGCTTACAGTATTTTATGAACCTATTTCTAATATACTTATTACTAATTATTCTATTTACATTTTCTTCACTAATTTTTATTCCTAATTCTATTTCTATTTCATTTCTCTCTTTTCCATATATTGGACATTCTGTAAGTATGTGTATTATATTTTCATTTTTTACAGGGTCGCAGGCACATGCCGGGCTCTCCTTACATTTGAATTTAAACAAGTATTCAGAGAACCCGCCATGTCCTGTCATGACCTGAACTAATATCGGATCCATTTCTATTTTCTTAATTATTGGATATGCAGCAATGGCATCTGGGAAGAATGTTTTAGTGGTTGAGGCTGTTTCTCCAATTTTATAACGCCGGTTCCATTCATCAAGCGATTCCATTCGGATGTTTCGCTTGATGAATGATATCGGACATTTCCCATATACAGGTTTAGTTTTTATTTTTAGGGCAGCTTCTTTGGCTAGATGGTCTGCTCTCTCATTTCCCTCCAACCCTGCGTGGGCTTTGATCCAATATAAATTTAATATTTTGCCTTGTTTATTTAATTTGTAGATGTTATTTCTTATCTCCACTGCTAAGGGATGGAGGGAAACGTCTTGGACTATTGTTTGGAGAGCAGACCTCGAGTCGCTGTATATACTGCAGTTTTGTGATGGAGCAGTGAGTGCATATTTAGTTGCCTCCAGAATGGCTAGCAACTCTGCCTGGTAGACGGTGCAAAAATTTTCCAGTTTCAGTTTTCGGGTATTTGTCTCCGCAGCGTTATTCCATATGGATAACGCCGCGCCGACTTTCCCCTCTATCCTACTCCCGTCTGTATATATTTTAAGTCCGTTGTTATCATTTTGGTCCATTTGTACACCGTCTTCCAGGCATGTAAATTTCAAGCCGAGCTGTTCCGCGGGATGTGTGGTCTTTGAATATTCAATTTTGGCTTCTACATCCCGATCACCCACAACTCGCCGGGAGAAGCCTTTCTTTATTTCATAAAGGAGGGCTGCTTCCTGGACCCTTAAGTCCAAAGGAAGCAACCCGGCGAGTAGTAGGGCCGAGTGTAGAGAGACTGTCCTGTAAGATTTAATAACTTTCTGCACAAACCCGCGCTGTACCATATCCAGTTGTTTTTTAGCTTTATGTTTATTGGCTGCTGATGCCCATGCACTGGCCGCATACATAACTATTGGCTCAACAACTGCAATATAGATGGTCCTAATGATCTCCGGGTTCAGGCCCCAATGTACCTTTGCAGCTCTCGACAGTTGACGATATATGTTTTGAACTTTACAACAAGTTCTCTGGATGTGTATATTAAAGGTAAGCTTATCATCAACTGTGAGGCCGAGTATTTTAATTTCTTTGGAGAGCTCAATGTCCTCCCCGCCCATCTCCAGACGTGGTGAGTCATACTTCAGCTTATTTGTTACGACCATTGCTTTTGTTTTGTGTGGCGCAAAATTAAGCTTATTACCGACTCCCCACCTCCGGACATGTTCGAGAATTTCATTGGCCTGCTCTTGCACCTGTCGTGCCGTATCCCCGGAGAACATCAGGACCACGTCATCCGCGAAAGCCTGGCAATGGGACCCTCTTTCACTTAACTCCCTCAGGAGTGGATCCAGTAGTAAATTCCAGAAAATTGGACCCCCGATCGAGCCTTGCACACACCCTTTTGTGGTCTTTCTTACGCATTCGGCCCCGGCATATCTGAGGCACACCGTTCTATCTTTAAGATAGCTATCTACTACCCGCCTCAGATTTACCGGACACCCAATCTCCGCGAGCCTACACCGTATCGCCGGCCACCACGCATTGTCGAAGGCTCCCTCTATGTCCAATGATATGATCAGAATCAACTTTCTGTCTTTCAGTTTGATCTTAATAAACTGCATCATGTCATAGAGGGAGTCCTCCGTGCTGCGTTGCGGCATAAATCCATATTGGTTTTGGCTTATCTTTGGCACGATGTGCCACTTTATTCTGCGAACTAACATTTTTTCGTAAATTTTTCCTAGTACAGGCAAAAGCCCAATCGGCCTGTAGGACTTAGGGTGTGTGTAGTTCCCCTTACCAGGCTTTCTCAATACAACGACTGCGGCCCTCTTCCATTTGATGGGAAAATATGCAAGACTGAGGCACTTGTTTATTAGTGCCAGGAACAATGCTAAGTCCAAGGTGACGACTACTTCACAGACGTCCGATGTTAAACCATCGTCACCGGGTGCCTTTTTAGAACTAAAACTAGACACGGCCCACATTAGTTCTTCTTTTGTAAATGGTGGGTCACATGGACTATCATGTGACCCTTCGTTTACAGTTTCCGCTGTAGCTCTTGTTTGCATGTGTACCGTGTCATCGTCCTCAGTGCTATCCTCCGGATAAAATGTTTCTGCAAGTATCCTGGCCGATGCCTCACCGTCTAGCGTCTCCCCGTCCTGCATAAGTGGAACATCCTCATGTCGATTCAATGTGCGGCTTATAACCCTATATATACCATCCCACATTGTTTCTCGGTCTTGCTTACAACAGAAGTCCTTCCAGCTGGTGGTCTGAGCTCTTTTTACTTCATATTGGTATTCATCTTTTGCTTTTTTATACTGTTCGACGACCCACCCGCGACGGACTGGTGCTGCGTATGAAATACGGCGCTTCAACCTGGAGACCTCCTTTTTACGTACTGTCAGCTCGTGGGTCCACCAGGGCAGTCCCATTTGTTTTTTGGTTTTTATTTTAGGAATACTACTTTCGCATGCTTCTATTACTGAATTTGTGTAATGTTCTGTTTTTATTTCTAATTCATCCGTTGTTGCTATTTTATTTATTTCCTCTTTATTTATTCTTTTTGCCTTCCAAATTTGGACGAGTTTCTCACGAAACTCGCCCCAATTCGCCTTCTTGGTGTTGTATTTCCTTGTTATTCTTTTTATATTGGTTCCTGTTGATTTTCCTAAATTAATGTCAAATAGGATTGCCCTGTGGTCCGAACTGGTTATTTCGTCGGATAGTCTCCAGTTGTCCATCCTCCCGAGTAGGCCAGTCGAGCAGGTAGTTATATCCACGCAGCTGGAGAACCTCTTTCCGCCTCTATATGTGTCAAAAGTAGGCTCAGTCCCCCTGTTGAGAATATGGAGTTCTAGTTGGTCAAGCTTTGCGGCGACCTCGATTCCTCTGCTGTCTGTTTTCCGGCTTCCCCACCAGGTGTTCCAAGCATTTACGTCCCCACCGAGTATCACGTGTCTTGTCCGTAGTCCCACCACGGCCGCATCGATCTTTTCTAAATAAGGGTCGATTGGTGTGTCGCCCTCTAGGTAGACGGACACCACCCCCAAGTCCCATGCCCCGGTGCTCAGCTTAGCGACTGCGATATTCTCTGTTGTTAGGCCGGGGCATAGGGTCATGTCGATGGCGTCATTGAATAGCACAATAGCTGCCTTGATCACTTTTTCAGTGTTCTGGCTTCTGTCGCTTTGTGCTATCCTCGTCCCCGAGTAACTCTTCATTCGACCAATTCGACCGATATAGGGCTCTTGAACTAGAGCGAGAGATATCCCTCGCTTGGTCGCCTCTGTTATTAATTCGGCCGTGGCTAGCTCGCACCTTTGAAGATTCGTCTGGACCGCGTGATATCGGTGGGTACAGATGTTAGGTTCCGTGGTCGAGTTTGACTCAACTTTAGCAGTATGCTACGGTAGACCTGGCGAGTACTTCCCATTTCCTTCTTACTGGACAGTCTGGACTAAATGCGTTATGGTCTTTTCTATCATGGTTAGCTTTGTTGCAATTTCTGCATTCTGGTGTTTCTCCAGACAGCCAGTCAGCACATTCTGTTTTGAGGTGTGGGCCTCCGCAATGGCTGCAAACGTCGGTTGTTTCCGTACATGTGCGCTTGCTATGTCCATATCCTAGGCAACGCGAGCATTGAACTAAGGGGGACTGATCCGTTACCCTTACCCTCTGTAAGTCAATATGAATGACCTCAGCCTCAATAAGACGGTTCCAAATCTGAGGCGAAACTCTCATCACAATGTGGGACGTATGCGGGTTTCTTGTTCTTTTCCTGTATTTGATCTCCATTCTATCCTCTTTTTCTTGTATATCATTGAGAAGCTGTTTGTTTTGCTTTCTTATTGCTTTTATTACCTCTTCATCCGTATTATATTGCATGACATCTCTCATGATTACAAGTGGATCCTTGTTTTTTATGTCGTTCACATTTAGATCTTTCCCTGCCTGCTTTAGTCTCTCCTTGACTCTATTTATCTCCTTTTCCGTTCGGCATCCCAATATTACTTTTCTGTCCCTTGCCTTCCTGATTTTATCTATTTTCAACCCTTCTTCCTTGGCATTTATTGCGTTTCTTATCTTATCCATGACCTGATCGCCGGTTTCTTTTTCATCATTCGATGTGATAATTACTGAATGCATGGCCATGTTTTCTGAAGGCAAGGGTGTAGGTGATGGTAAACCCCTTGGTGGCCCAGCCACTATATTTGCGTATGTTCCTCTATCTTCTCTTGTTTCCTGTTTTCTCATTTCTTCTCTTAATTTTTCCATCTCAATTTTACTTTCCTCTAACAGTTTGCCGTGTAGTTCCAATTTCTTCATTAATTGTTCTTCTTCTTTTCTTTTCCTATTTTCATCTTCTAATCCTTTTTTCACCTGGTCTTTAGGCTTTTCTTCTTTCTCGGTGTTTTTGCCTGTTTCCGCCTCTTTCACTAGTTGATAGAGTCTCTCTATTGCCTGAGTGACTTCCGTTTTTATATCGGTCCTCAGGTTTCGAGAGTTACTCAAATGTAGCTTAGCTTTATGGAGACAGGCTCTGGCCTCTGATATCCGATCCGTAAATTTTGTAGCAATTTTTGGAGAGCTTTCTATGTTCTCAGCCGCTGGTTTACGCGCTGTTACTCTAGCCTCCTGTGATGGAACAATCTTCTGCTTTGGACGAGCCACCGGGGCTACCTTTTTTGGCGAGATTTGTGTTGCAGTTTCTACATCTATTTTTCCCATCTCCCACTCACCAATACTTTTCCTCACGCTAGGGACTTGCAACTCACTATCGTTTTTAGGAGAAGGCCCAGCCTTCTCTCTCCTACTTGGAGATCCCGGAGGACTCGTGTCCCTGGCACTATCCTCAGTCTTTTTAACGGGCGTACGAATGCCGAACATTTTCAGGGGAACGCGTCTTGGGTCTCAACAACCAATAAAACAATTTGTAAAAATAAAATAAAAAGTAATAAAAAGTAAAATAAAATAAAATAAAATAAAATAATAAACGGAAAACGAGCAACAATACACGACAACAGTTAATAATAGTCAAGTTTTAATAAATTTTAAGGTTTGTAGAAGTTATAAAATCTTTTCAAAATTTTGAAAATTTTTGAAATTTTGAAGTTTGTTGAAGTTGCAGTACTTAAATTTTTCAATCGGCAAAACCACACAAATGCCGCGTCACAATAGTATTGTTGTAAAAAATTAAAAAATTTTTTGCTCTATGTAGTCTCCACTCTATCTTCGTTAATGTGTCATATACATAGAGTACAATATAAATGTTACAATAAGAAACGTTTCAAAAATTTAATTTTTATAGTCTATAATGACTCTACCTAGAGTCTGTCTATGTCTCTATTAATATTTATAAATTGTTTTATTTATTAATCAACTAACTAACTTCTTAAAAAATTTTTTATGAAAAACTTTTTCTTGCTCTACCTAGAGTTTACACTATTTTCTAGTCTTAATCATATAAACTACACATTAAATTGTATTATACGTTTATCTCACTTAATTTCTAATTATATTTTGGTCTGGCACAAAAATAGAAAATTTTTTCAAGGCTCTATGTAGAGTCAGTCTAAGTCTAAATTACTGGTTCTATTTTTATAAAGTTATTTACAAAAAACCCCGTCAAAATCGGATCACTGGTTACTTTATAATTACAATTTTAAATTTTTCATCCCCCAGAGACTAAGTCCAGAAGTCAAGTTAGGGGTAGGGGGATGAAACTTTGTCAAAATGATCCGGGAGGGTCCGAAGACTATCCCTTTAGTGGATAGTGTGGAGGGGGGTTAGGGGGGGGGGCCGAAAAAATGTCAAAATTGAGCTAGGAGGCTCCGTTCTCCTGAAAACTGAAAAACAAGTTTTCGTGCGGTTTGCAGGACCTCCCAGCTCACACAAATAAATTTATAACTTAAAACTACTTATCCGAAAATTCTGAAAAAATTATGGTAGATAATGTATTAGTTGCTGTATTATAATTTATAATTAATAAATTTTGATTCCTGAAAAAATTTTGAGTTTTAGAATTTTGAAAATTTTGTTACGAAAACCAACAACCGCAAAAAGACTCTAAATCGTGTAATTATGTCGGGACAATTTTGAAAAAATTTAGGTATATACTATGTGTGCTAACAAAAATTTTGACACTATTTTCAGGAATGTCCCGAGGTTCCTTCAGCCACCACGTGTTTTTTATTGGACCTCCCAGATCACACAAATAAATTCGTATCTCTGAAAGTACTTGCTCTAAAACTCTGAAAAAATATATTTTGGATAGCCTGTTAAATAGGGAATATTATAGTAAATTTGGAAAAAATTTTTTCTTGGAAATTTTTGGAAATTTTTAATTTTGAAAAATGAGTTATAAAAACCAAGAACCGCAAAAAGAGCCTAATCCAAAAAATAAAAATAGGAAAATTTTGAAAAAATTTGGGATAATAATATTAAGTATTTCCTACCTTTGTGAATTTTTTCAGATTTTTCAGGCGCACCTTCAGGACACCACGTGATTTATCTTAATAATAAAAAGTCTCTTACAAATAGTTTTTGCACTCCAAATTTCAAAAATTTGGTGTCTTCTTGTAGGTCTTGAAATGCTCTTTCATATGATGTCAAAAAACATATATGTCCTCACTGAAATTTTAAAGTTTTTTACTTTAAAATTTTTTGGCTGAAAATCGGTATCTTCACAGCGTCATAACTTCTTTATTTCTTGACCAAATTTTTTGGGCGAGGTGTCAAACGATTTGTCTTGCCGTCTTCTTTATAAAGCCGTCGTCAAATTTAGCCGCTCACCTTCAGATCTTAAAACACGTGGCCACGTGGTTTTATAATTTTGGTAATAATTCCGTGCGCGAGCGTCCAAAAATTTTTCTAATTACACAAAAAGTTAGAGCTAATTAGGGCGCTTCTAACGACACTAAAAAAGCACTATGTTATCGATTTAGTTTTGGCAGCGTATCACTTTTTAGTTTTTGGGGTTAGGAAAAAATGGTTTTTCCGTGTTAACTTTTTATTTTCCACACTTTTTCCACTTTTTCACATATCACTATGTTCGTCTCGTTGAGACGAATCTTTCGGTGTATCACACTTCGTTATTTGGTCAACTTGACCCACAACTTTGATTTTTAATACGCGGAGCGGTTTAAAAATGATGCGTTCGGGACGGCGTTTGGAGCGCAACTGGTTAGGTTAGGTTAGATTAGGTTAGGTTAGGTTAGGTTAGGTTAGGTTTTTTTTTTTTTTTTTTAAATATAAGAGGTTGTTAAGTTCTCTTATATAATGCAATATGCTATCGGGATACAAGTTGCATTATAAAGATTGGATCTCTGTAGTTATTTCGTTTTGAAATTGTCTTGTTGTCTATTTTTACTTTATTTTTCTAATTCGCTAATACTTTAATTAATTATTGAATTTTTTTAATGAATTCACAATGTTTTTTTATGTGTTTACTAAAAGTTTCTATAGTTGTGCATTTTTTAATTATGTCTGTTAATTCATATGGATTTATTCTTAAGTTATTGCAGTTAATTTCATGGTCTATTCTAGTATTATTAAATTTTGGGCAGTCTTTTATCAGGTGGATAATAGTTTGAGGTGTGCTTCCATCACATGGGCAATAATCATTAGCGCTTATTTTAAACCTATGTAGGTAGCTTTTATGGAATCCGTGATTACTTAGGATTTGCGTAAAATGGAAGTCAGGTTTGATTTTTTCTAGGACGATATGAAGTGCCTCATATGATGGACACCATGTTTTGGTATATGTGCAGTTAGCTATGTTGTTGTAGTAATCTTCACTTGCAGTTTGTAAAGTCTTACGATGGATTTGTTTTATGTAGCTGATAGGGAATTTTGAATAATCCGGGGCTTTATTTAAACTCGTTGCTGCCTTGGCCGCCGAGTCCGCTAATTCATTTCCGATAACACCATTATGGGCTTTCGTCCAGATGAATCTAATGGTTTTATTTCTTGTTTCAGCATTAGTAACATTGCGGTGTATTTTTGCTGCTAAAGGGTTGGTTGTGTATGGGTTATTTAACTCTAAAAGGCTTGACTTGCTATCGGAAAATATTATAAATTTATTAAGTTTACTGGTCAGGATCCAATCACTTGCTTTAGAAATTGCAAAAAGTTCTGCTTGGTATACTGAACAAGTGTTGTGAAGTTTATATTTTTTAATGACGTTTTGACCCTCTGAGTGAAGAACAACAAAAGCAGCTCC